TGCACCTGGCAGAAAACATTCAGTCGTGAGTAGGGTCCTGTGGACAGGTTCCTGCCGGTGGCTGGTATCTGCTGGTGCTGCAGCAGCACCATGCTTGGAATTGGATATCACAGAAAAGGTTTCCCAGAAGTGCCTCTTAAACAGAACTGAACTTTAGTTGTGATATCAGGAGGCTGTCACCATTTTATAGCTTTAAGTGCACAGTAATAGCCTCATGTCCTAAAATGCAGGGTGTTTTTTCCCCCCAGAGGTTTGCTCTCATTTTTATTTGTGACAAACAAACTCACCATGGTTACATCCTCCATAAATCCTGCTGGAAATGGGCTTGCTTGGACTAGCGGGAAGAAGCCACAAGATATCTAGAGATCTTTTCATGTGTTTGTTTCTTCTCCCTCCCTTTGTTGCCTGAGCTACTTTTATTTCTGCATGTCTACAAGGATCCCTGCATGCCTGCCATTTGTGGAATTTTGCATTTTCATGTTAGCAGGCTGGACATCCTCCAAGTGGCTCTTCCTTGGACAATGACACCAGACAATGTGCTTTGAATTTTCCCTCTGCACAAAGGTCAGTGAACTTTTCCTGCACCTTTGGTGGTTCCCCTGCTGCCCTGTAGCTGACAGATAAGTCCTTCATTGTTTTCGTCTGTCAGTTCTGCTTCTGCAAGAAACTTCTTTTGCATTTGATGCAAATTAAAACTCCTGAATTTTGTCACATGAAAGCTGCCTCTGAAAACTGGAGGAATTGGCAATGCTTTGCCCTCTTCCTCTGTGCTGTTAAAGCCTTCATCATGCACTCAGCTCCTGCTTCCCCACTGAAATGCCAAGTTTTCAGCAGTAAGGAGTGGCTGGTGGCAGAAGCTCTTTAGTCAACGTGTATGTTTTAACCAGTAGAAGTGACTGCCTGGGCCATCTAGGGAATGCTAATGGTTTCAGCTGAACTCTACAGGGTTGCATTTAAAAGCAGCTCAACCAATTGCTTTGAAGGAGTATTTGAACTGAGCTGTCTGCAGAGGACTTTCCATCAGCACAGGGGTGAAGGCTGGGTGATGGGCTTCCTAGTGGATCTAGGGACAGCGAGGAGATGGACTGCAGCTGCAGGGAGGTCTCTTGGCCACATTGGGCAGGGACAGGCAGCATCAGAACAAACAAGTCTTGGTCCAATACCTCTCACAGCTAGGCTGGTGTAACCCAGGTTCTTTGCAGACTGCTGAAGGAGCAGAACAAGAGCCTGAGCACAGCCCTAGCCCAGACGTCCTCATCTCTGTCCCACCAGACATCCTCATCTCTGTCCTACCAGATGTCCTCATGGTCCCCATGATGTGACACTGATATAATTAAAGACCTGCTGCCTTCCACTCAGGATAGAGCTCACCCTTCACCTCACTGCTGGACTACAGCTGCTGAGGCATTGCTCCTGCAGTGCAAAATGTCCCATCTGATGCCACGTTGCTGCTCAAGGCTGATTTCTCCTGACCCTCTGGTCCTAGCTGCAGGATCTTTTGCTTCACAAGGGCTGAAGGCACCATGGCCTTCCAAGAGCCTGCAGCATTGGGATCCTGCTGGGGAGGAAGGATGAGAGGGATTCTGAAGACAAAAGATGATGGACTGTTGTAAAAAGCTCCAAAGTTCCTGCACAGCCCACTGAAATGGAGAACTGCTTTCAATTAAAAACAGACAAACAAACAAAACAACAACCCAGGAGCTTTTACCCCTGGTCTAGGGAGGACTGGCCAGCAGCCTGGCCAGGAGCTGACTCTGTGGCAGCACTGAGGATCATCTCCCTGGTGCTCTTGGGCTGTCAGCAGCCAGGTGGGACCCAGCCATGTCCCCAGTGCTCCTGCAGCACACTCCAGTGAGGACAGCTGTTCTAGGAAGTGTGGATGCTGAGACAGAGACATCTCTATTGTGCAGCACAGAAAATGGCCTGGGCAGAGCTTTTGCATGGAAGGAGATTTTCATCTACTGTTTTCCACTTAGGCTTATTAATCGCAGAGATGTTTCTAAACAAAATATGGATCTGCAGCAGAACGTAGGCGAGCAGCTCACTCAGACAGAAGAAAGCACAGCTCAGCCGTGCTCATCGAACTGATTTTTCCATGTGCAAGTCCAGCTTCCTCTGCTTCATTTCTTATTTGCCTTCCCATGTTCTTTTCCTCCTTTTATATCTGTTTACAATCACTTTTCTCATTGCCTTTCTTGCTTAAGGAATATCCCGAATAAAATCCTTCTCTGGGTTCCCCTTTTTTCCTTCCCATGTTGTTTGCACAGTGTTCTTTCTCAGGATGTGTTCTGGGTGGTTAGTTCTTAACAAAATATTGGTAAACTCAGTGCACCACATTGTCATCCTGAGGCTCCAGTGCTACGTTGCCAACATGCCTCTTGCATGGGCAATAGAGCCTGAGGTTTTTACAGCACACACGTGAGGCAGCACAATGTTAGCAAGGGTGGTGTTCCAATTAAAACGTGTTGGAAGAAGGCACAGAAAGGTTGGCAGGATATATAGATGGAGGAGTCTCTCTCTTTATTAAGTGAGATATTTCATGGGCAGACTACAGCAGGCAAGAACCAAAGCAGAGGCAAACAAGAGTGGGTCTTGCAGGGCAGAGCCTGGGCAGCTGCACGAGGCTGTGCAGAGTGTGGTTATCACAGACACCACGAGAGCTTTTTGCCTCCTGGTAATTTTGGTATCATTAGGTGCTGCTTGTAATGGGAAATCATTATTTTACCGTGGTTCTGGTATGTTGTCCATAATTAGCGTGCAGCCCTTTAATGCTAATTAGCTGTAAGGATTGATTCCTTAAACATCAATTAAAAAAGATCACGTGAAAATTTACCTCTTCCTCAAGCGAGTCATGAGTTAATGTGTGGGTACTGACAATGTACTACTTAGACTTGCTTAATTAGTTAATCTCTGTAAAGGGGTTTCAAATGTGTGAAGAGCTATCAAACTGCTAAGTGCATTATCTTCAATTAATTTTGTGCAACTACATCTCTACTACCAAGAGGGTCTTTAGAGTGCTGAGGAAAGGAAAAGAAGACATTGCTTCTAATTTTAAAAGTAACTAATCAAACAAAAGAATTAATTGACAGATGATTTGAAATGGTGGGAATGAGGGTGAAGGTACCATTTCTTCTCTTTCAGCCAGACTTGAATATGAAAGATTCATCATTCCTATCCCTTCTCTGCCTTTGCTGGTCTGGTGTCTTTGCTTCCATCTTCCCCTGGTCTTAATCTGCTCTCTCTCTCACTTAATATTAACCCCCTCTCTTCCAAATTGGATATTACCTTAGCAAAAAAAACAAAACAAAACAAAACAAAATTACTAAAAAAATCACAGTAGAGCTCCTGCAAGGGAACAGAGCCAAGTGAAGCCCAGGAAACCATGTGGTATCTCTGCATTTCCTGAACCACCCTGTCACCCAATGGAGATAAGCTCTTCATCTGACTTTCAGAGTTTTCTATTCTATTTAGAGGCTTATAGGCCTTTTAAATTATTCTCATTTTACTTCACCCATGAATAATCTGCTTTTGGTGGAGTTCTCTTAAAATTTTGACAGTTCTTTCTGCTAATATTCTGCCTAGCTGGCACCTTTATTTAGGCCAGCTACACTGAACTGGGCTTTACCAAGAACCTATTTCCCTGACTATTTTTCTCCCACTGGGACTAAAAAAAGATAAGAACATTTTTCTTGCCAAGTCTGATTTGGTTTTAGAATTTTTGACTTGCCCTTTCTTTTTTTTACCAAGAATGATAAATGATCACTTCCTTGCTGACTGCCAAGGTCCCACACGTTGTAAAAAATTTGGGCAGCTTGTGTAATATCCCATTGCCTGAACAGTGGTTATGCAGCAGTGTCTCCTTCACAGGGTTTCGATAATTTGTAATGTGCATTTGCAGGATGTTTGTATGACACCTGGCAACAATTTGAAAACCTATTAATTTACCTTATGTCATCCAAAAGAAACAGGAGCAGACTATTTGTTGGCCACAACTTTATTCTCTGCATACTCTAAAGTAACAACTTCATCTGTTGGATGAGGGGTTCTGCTAGCAGGTCAGAGTTGTGTACACGGAGATCCTGAACACTCCACGTTCTCAGGGAAAGAACTTCTCCCACCAAACCAGAAAAACCTCTTCTCTCCAACCCCTCCTCAGTTCAATTGTACAAGAGAAACAAGTGAGGGATATTCATTGGTATACAGTCCAGTGGATATTAATTTAGCTGAGGGGCCTGACCTGCTGTAATGAGGATGTCTAACAGACATGTAGGTACTTTACAGACCAGCTTGGACAAGTTGTTATTATGAGGTGCAGAAATAAGAGCAGAACTACCAGAAGAAGCAGAAAAAGTAGCTTCTCACCCTGTCATACCTTCACAAGAGGTTTGTTTGGACAAAATCTTATAGGATCCTTTCCCATCATCTGGTGTGTCCATCCAGTCCATACTCACAGAAAATATGAGGGGTAAGCCAGAAACTATTTGGAAAAGTCAAGGTTGTCTTGCAGCTCAGCCTAAGGCCCTCTCATTTTCCTTCCCCACCCAAAGGATGAATATGGTCACCTATGGTCATTTAATTCAACTGGCTGTTCCTCCTACCTCTGCAAGACTGGTGAAATGGAGCCTGAAGAGATTATGAGTGTCACCAGATCCAAAAGGAAGGGGAAGGGCTAGCAGAATACTGAAGCTTGACTTGTCTCAGGTGCATTTCCCCAGAACAAACCTAACTGCAGGAAATTCTCAACACTTAGCCAAAGAAGGGAGAGAGCAGGAGAAATCCAGCAAGGTCTCCATAAACAATCCAGGATTTTTGCTCCCTCCCCTTCATGGATGCGAAAAAACAGGGGGGAAACTTCCTATCCTTTCCAAAGGGCTGCCTTTCGTATCAACGTTTCAAAAGATCAGTTGCCAATAAATTAAAACAAAACAAAAAAAAAAACCACAGTACATCCTGGGGACAGGGGAAGAAGAGCAGCTTCAACACGGCCCTCTTGGGGGGCTTCAGAGGGGCACGGGCGTGACGTAGTTGGCAGGGAAGAGCCCCAGCTCCCCACGCAGCCTTCCTTTCCACCAGGAGGGGTTGGAGCTGTCCAGGACCTCTAGGATGTCCCCGCTGCGGAAGCCCAGCTCGTCGTGCTCCACCGCCTCGAAGTCGTACAAGGCTCGGACCCAGAGCGTCCTCTGGAAGGGAGATAGGCAGGGAAGAGTGAGCCAGGGCTCACAGAGCATCCTCCTGCCACCCCACTTACACCCCAGTACCCCAGGACAAGCAGCACTGGAATTACGACCATCTTTCAGCTCAACTAGGAGGTGGCCAAGATGCCAGGAAGGAGAGACTGCTTTTCTGGTACACCTGAGTGATGGTGCTTGGCCTCTCAGCAGCCTCAGTAGACCCGTGGGTATTCACACCACAAGGTGAAAAGTCACACCTAGAGCAGGTCCTTAGGAGGTGGCATTCACCTGGCTCTGACTTGTCCACCCTGTGGTAGCTGGGTTTGAAGCCAGTTATGGGAGCATGGAGAAGGGTCCTGACTGAGTCTGAGAGTCCAAGTCCTCTAGGGAGGGTCTTAAGCCTTCTTTGGACTTTCCCCAAGGTCAGTCCCTTGAAATCAAAAGGATTTAGGAATTGGGTGCATCAGTTTATTTCTGGTTTGCACTTTAATAAGCACTAGGGCCAGAATTTTTTCTTACGAGACTTTGCAGTCAGTCTCCCATTGTGACCAGAAATGGGATTTTAAAGAACATAGCATGGGCTGCTCCTTTTCTTTTCTTTATTATAGACTAGCAAACTAGTCTAATTGAGAGGCATCTATTTGAGAGGCATGAGGCTGATGATCACTAGGGTCCCTTCCTCAGAGTGCTCCAGAAACAAATTCAGCTGGGACAGGGTCTTGAGAACAGAAACATCTTCTAAGATACATCCTAACAGGCTTAACACACGATTCCCCATGCAACGTCCATGCAGGTGATACTGCCCAAACTGCTTGGCTGATGCTAAAGGACCCATTGAGCTGGGCAGATGGAACCTTCCATGGTCATCACCTACTGGTGTCTGCTGGTGTGGTGGGTCTGTGTATCTCCGCTGCATTGCTGCTGCATTTCCTTGGACATGATCTCTTAGTCCATGCAGCCCATCTTTCCTGTCCAGGCTTCCACCATATCTATCCTAGAAAGAAAACAGCAAGAGATGAGACATGTAGATGCTGAGATGTACAAATGAGGGGCTTTAAGAGTCATTGGAGCTGGTCCATCCCTCATGTAAGTCATCTTAGATATTTGCTCTCAACACAGTCTTTGTGCTGCAGTCCTGCAATGCCCCTCACAGAAGAAGTCACCTTAGACTTCTATTTTGGATGTTTCCTCTTAGAATTGAAAGTTGACTATCCTCAACTGGTAAAACTGGTCAGAGAGGGGCTTTTTTTGGGTCTCTGGGACTTTTGGACAAAACTGAAGGCTGTTGTAACTGACAGCTGTACAGCCATGCTTGCCAAGGAGGCTTTTGCCAATCTGGAGCTATTATGCCCCAGTCCTGCCCCCTCATTTCTCTTGCTCTGCCCCATAAGCTGGTGGAATGGCAGTGATGCTGCTGCAGCTGACTGTGTACCTAAGGACTCACTGCTCTACTTTTTCTTGTGCTGCTCCGTGCTGCAAAGGGCAGGGAGCAAGCCCAAGAATCCAATCACCCAATTATCCAAAGAAGAAAAGAGACAAGATCAGGTTCAAAGACAAGAAGCCATATGACCACACATCTGAAGCCATATCAACACAAATCAGCCCAGACAGAGGGAGAGAGGACATGAGCAACATCTAGGGAGCAAATTCTCTTTTGTCTGCACAGCCGAGAGTTGCTGAGTGTCTTCATCCCTCCAGGCCCTTATAGTGCATGCACTAAGCTTTTTTTTAATGATAACAGTGTGACAGAATCTGTTATCATGTTAGTTCAGGTTGCAGCAATGCTTCAACACTGACAGGGTGTCTAATCAGGTGTGTCAACAGAGGGGAGGAAGAACAACAGCTTGTGCTTGCTGTTCCTGTAAATAGCTTTCATCCTCTCCCTCTTGCTGCTTCCTTTTTTGCACCCACTCTTCCAAAAACTCCCTCAGTCTCACTTGCACCTTTGTCAGCCTAAAAGCCAGCTGAGGTTGCCTGACACTGGAGCATGACTTGCACTTCATCTATCCCTGCTAGAAAGTGGGTGAACTTAATCTGGCTTTGCAGCTGCAAGACTTACTACATGGATTCTTCACTCCCACAGGAGTCTTTCTGCTCTGTCTCAGATGTCATCCATGCATAGACTGGACTCCAAAGAGTGCAGGCCCTCAGCTCTGTTAGAAGCTGTATTGTTCCTTCAGCAGTCCCCTGACAGACAGCACTGCTTGTCTGATGAGAGAACAGCCATTTCATGATCATCTCTGGTCTTGCTTGTGGGAGCTCTTGTGACTTAAGGGACACAGGTTTGTGTTTCTTCCCTTTAGCAGGACAAGCCCTCTCTCTGGATGATGCTATGCTGTCTCTAGCTAAAGACATGAGCCAATCCCAGGAAAACTATTTCCCCCAGATTAATCAGGAATAACTTTGAAGACAGCACCAGGTGCTGCTGTCATCCTCTCCATTCCTGTGCAAGCAAAGGAGTAAAGAAACCTCACTCATCAGAGGTGCAACATAGTGGAAGAGTGCAGAGACATTCCAGAGTCTAGAGGAGAAGGGGGAATGTTCTGAAGAAAACCAAACTCTCCTAGAGTTACCACAGTCATTTCTCATCCCTGTGATGTGCTGTGAGGTGATGAATGTCAGTAGCATAACCAAAACAAAAAAGAAACAGGCAGGAAGGTTGCATTTGTCCTACAGAGAAGAGATGAGTTCCTGAATCCATCTATCTGGGTGTGCAAGATCTGGGAGTGGTTTTCTGCACTCGTGCTGGATGACCCTTTATGTCCCTTCCTAGGCAAGGCAAGACACTATCTCTTGTTTTCCAATCCCAAAAAGTCCCTAGGAGTGCTCCCAGGTTACCAGTGAAAGCCCCACTGTACCCTGACTTCTGGTTTTTGCTGGTTTGTCACTCAGTCACAGATCACAGACTTAAATAAAAAAGTCTTAAATAAAAGCCCACACATTTATTACACCTCAAATTTCTCCCCAGGCCAACACCATCATGGCTGCTGCTCCCATACAAAGACCCAACTGACTCTGCTTCTTCAGGCAGATTTTTGACAAAGGGATGGCTTACTCACTACCAAGCAATTAAGACCAATGCTTCGTGTGCCTGGTCTTGACATCCCAAGCCCTCATTCTTGCTCGTACCTGCTGCTGCTGCAGTGTGGGGATAGGATGCTCCATGTATCTCTTGGGTGTAGGACAATGATCTTCTCCAGCTGCTCCACCCAAGTGGAATGCTTCCCGGCCCATCCGTTCCAGGCTCCCACCACGCCTGTCCTGATGGAGGAAAGATCACAAAAGTGAGGTGAGGTTTTGCTTCCTACCACATTTTTGACTGAATATTAGCAATTGTTGCACCCTGATCACTACTGTTACCTTGGAGGCTCTTCCAAAGGAACGATCCCATCCCTCTGAACAGAAGGACCACTCAGGAATTCTGTTTTATATCTTTGTCATAGCCAGTTCGTATCTGAAGGCTGCATAGTAGTGGGAAATGCTGGGCTGAAAAATGTGTGAAATTGCTGGCCAATGATGTGAGGACCAGCACAGGCGTTGGGCTCTTTTTGGAAACACTGCCCTTAGACTTCATTTGTCTCTGGACTGCAATCTGTGTGTTAATATCATTTTATCATATGGTGGTAGCATCTAGAAATGTGAATTGTGAATTGAAACCCTGCTGTGACGAATGCTGAACATGCCCTGCTGAGCCCATCACCATAACAAACAGGCAGAGCATTTGCCAAAGCAAACTTGACTCCTTTCATTTGCCTGTCTGCATCTTGGAGCAAACGCTGTTTTCTCTTTCCTTCCTGCTCACAGTCAGCTGACAAACAGGTTGTTTTACTGATAGACATGCCTACAGTCTTCCTCTCTCCTTCCCCAGGCAATTCTTTGCTGTGATCTCTCTCCCAGAGGTCCCATAGCCTCTATTTTGTACCTTACTAATGCACTTTTAAAGCTCTGCAGAAGTGGTCTAGAAGGAGACCACAACACAAGCCCCTTTGGGATGAAAAATTGGCTCTTTTGAAGCCACTAAGACTGACCCACACGTAGCCTAGAAAACTTCCCTGCAGCAGTGAGCACATCATGTACCTTCTGCTTTGTCTCTCCCTGCACATCCTGGTGATTTAACAGCAGGATCCGTTTCCTAGGAGGGCAGGACTCTGGTTATTGCAGTGACCAGGCGTGCTAACTCCCAGGGCTGTGTGTGCAACCTTCAGCACTCTCTGCTGGCTCATTTGCTTGGTTTCTGGCACAAAACCAGGCATTCACTGGCCTTGGATTTCCCTTCCTTCTCAAACATCCACTGCATCTTCCTTGAATGCACAGCTTGTTCCCTTATCTGCTGTGTTCTTCTCAGCAGTACTTTTGAGATTCTACCAGCTGCTGCTCCAGGCTCTGCTCTCAGTTCCTGGACACTCCTCACTGTGTTTGCTCAGTAACAGAAGATTCTTTTGAGCAGACAAACCTTCAGCTGTGACAACAACTGCACTCTGGGTGCGTTCAAGGACATGAGGAAATCAGAGTCAAATTCTTCTCAGACACAACCTCCCAGTCAGCTCTGTACCTGCCCTTATGAGATCTGCCCATTTCAGTGAGGAAAGTCCTGCTTCCCTTGGATCTGGAAGGCATCTGAGCCATTCCAGCTCTGGGGCACTACCGCAGCTTTAGCAAAGCCCCTCTGTGCAGATTTGCAGCACTACCTATCGTGAGCCAAAACAGAATCAGAAAATTCTGCCCAATTTTAGAACTCTGTCTGCCCCTGAATCCACTAAACATCTAAGTTGCAGGGCCCACCAGTGTAGAGATGGGATTGGGTTTTGAAGGACAGACTCAGCCCCCCTCCACACCCACCCCAAGATGTTCTCATGGGCTGTACTGAGAAACTCCTAAGAATAGTTTGTTTACCTTCTCTTCTCGGCTGTTGTCCCTCAGGAAGATCTGCTTCTGCCTGGAGATGGAAGTTGTCTTGTAGTAGTCCACCAGCTTGTTTAGTGAGTGGAATTTTTCTGTCCACAAGTAATAGTTACCCTTGGAATCTCTCATCACTTTGAAGTGTTGCACATCATCTTCATGCCTGGACCCAAGTGGGAAAAGTCAGAGGTCATCAACCAGATTGCACTTCCATCTTTTTTTTGAGAAAGTCTTTTCCAGAAGGGACCAGAGCTTGTCATTTGGCCAAATCTAGACTTCTGGAAAGCAAAGCAGTGGCAGTTCTTGTGTCTACTGCACCTAAATGTGGCTCTATTTCAAAAGACACAAACACAGAGTGCTGCAGGGCTGCCCAGTCACAAAGCACTATCAGAACAAAGCATGGGATTTGGAAACCTCTCCTTTGACATTGAGGCCAGAGGAGCTTTCAGGTCCACAACTAACTAATAGCTTTATTCTGTACTTTGTATGGGAGACAGAGGTGCAGTTTTATTCTGCTCACTAGGCTCTGCAGGTTCCTGTCACCATCCAGCCGGCATTGACTTTGAGAGATGTTATTAGGCCTTTTCACACCACAGACATCACCACTACATGCAGACATTCTCCCTACCCAAGGGAGAAAAGAAAAATAAAGAAAGAATTATTAGTTGCTGTAAGAAGCCAAATCAACTATCTCAACCTTCTGGCCCTGCTTCCCCCCTGAAACTCTCCTCCTCTAAACTCTTGTCTGATCTGTACCAGATGTGGTCTGGTTTTGGTACCCACCTCCTTGCTCTGTGTTCAGGAGCTCAAAACACTCATCTCAGAGGCTACATCTGCACAAATAAACTACATGGGGACCAGGCAGGGCCTGACTGCTCTCCTGGAGTGCTGTAGTCATACAAGCTGTTAGCATGGTTTTGGTCTAAACTAAAAAGCCCTCCCCTCAGGCCACGGTTAGGGGGACAGTGGACCAGGAGCTGTGTGCAGTGAGCTGCTTGAATACAGCTGGTTTATTCTGTTCTGTGGGATAAAAAGGATTTAGCCATATGGATCTGAGCTGAGCCACGTTGCTTGACCTCAGGGCCAGAGAAAGAGCCTGACTGTGCTCAGTTTATTGGTGTTTATCGGTGTAGATGTAACCAGAATATTCCCCTGAATTCCTCCCAGATGCTTTTTGAGCTCCCTGAGTCAGCAAGGGCATGCTGCTTGGAAAAGACATTGCTAGCCACTACTCTAATTTCAATCTGGTTATCAATTGTTGGACTGAAAACTGGGAGACAACCATCATTGAAGAGCTCTGCTTTGAAGCAAGTGCTCTGAGAAGGGCTGGGCTACAGTAAGCTGCTGAAATGCAGCTGGGCCATAAGCAACTAAAAACCATTCCAGTTTGATGGCTGTTTAGTGACTCGTGGGGAATAAGTTGACTGTGGAACAGGCATCTCTTAATGGGTAGTAGTGGAATTCTTGGATTCAGTAACCAGAGCTTTCAGGGAATTAAATGGAAGGCACAGGTTTTGCCCTATAGATGTCCCATGGACCACTCTGCTTTGCTGCAGCTCTTCCAGAGAAGCAGGTCACCAGGGGGATGCAGCTTTGAAATGGGGCATTCACCAAGTTGCTTGAAAAGAGGCAGAAGCATTTGGGAATCAGATGCCTGGTTTCTTCTTGTTCACAACACAGCAGCACTGCCAGTGACTGGCAGCATTCAGACTTCCCAAGGGACTATGCCACATTAGGAATCCTGGCAAGAGGAGGCTGGGGATACCATTAAAGAGGAAAAGAAGCAGGAAAATGCTGCGAAAAAGCAGGTACCTGACAGAGATGGAGAAGTCACCGTGAGAGTTCTGACTGGCTCTAACAATGAAGGAGCCAACTCCTTTGCTCATGAGGATGTTCTCTGCTTCGTGGCGGGATATCCCCTCATCAAACCAGCTGCCAAGTGGGAAAAAATCATGGAGAGGTGACTCAGAACGTGAATTAAGGTGAGGAACAAAAATGTTGAGGGCAAAAAGAATGTGAATAAGCAGGGTGGAAGAAAGATGAAACAAAGGATCAGAGGAGCCCACAGGACTACTCCCAGTGGCCATGTACACGCTAAGGTCCAGGGTTTTGATGGGTGCAAACCATTTTCTTTGAGCAGTAATAGCATGCAGAGGCAAAGAGAACAATGCAAGCTTTTGCCTGCTGAGAAGCAACACTCGGCCGAAACTCTAATTACAGGCACAGTCCAGTAAGGTGTGAGTCAAAGAAAGTTTAAATTACAAATGTCTCTGTATGTATACATACACACAGAACTCTCAGACCTATACATCAAATTGCTTTTGGGAAACTGATTGAAAATTACTGGACTGTGATGGATATATTGCAAGGGACACGCATAAATATTTAGCAGAAGCAAGCCGTGGGAGTTTTAGTACTAATAAATTGGTTCCTGCAAGAGTTATAATACCACAAAATAGCAGAAACACAGAATACATAAGCACGGTTATGTAAATTTAGCCAGGCATAACAACCAGTAGTATGAGGCACTGGACAAATAATGAGAAAGTCACCATAAACAGCAAAATAAGACAGTGTCAGTAGGAATTTTTCAGTAGAGGAAAAAAATCCTGCTGTAGACTTATGTATGTCCACTCCACAGCTAATAATGTCAACCTGCAGTCTTCTGCTTTTATGTAATGTTTAATTGCATTAAAATAAAGGACTGATAGTTTCTTAAGCTCTATAATTTCCACTTTTGGGTTTCACTATACTTATTATCATCACCGTCCACCTATTGTATCATTAGCAAGGGGAAATGAGATCTAATTAGCATTGGGAACTGGTCTCGAGGATTGCTTGACATGATAATGATGGGAAAAAATGGTCCATCAAAAATAGGAGACAGCTTTCTTCCCCACATCTGGTTCTTGCATCTGGCCTCAGCTGCTCCTAAGTGCAGACATGCTGCTCTTAGAAAGGTGCCCAAGCAGAAATAGTTCTTTACAACTCTTGCACAGAGTTTTTTTGGGTGTGCAGGCAGGGAACGTGGAGAAAGGTGGAGGGGTGGCTGGGTGAGGAGGTCGGCACGTCTGGGCTGTCATCTCCTCCACGCCAGGAGCAACCCCCGTAGCCTTGCACTGACCTCTAGTGTAGAGAGGAGCTCACACACGCTGGAGGATGAGGAGGATGAGGGTGCCGGGGGGGGAAAGGAGGTTCATGTAGCGAAGGGACGAGGGGGTGCAGGGAATCACATTTTTCCACTTCATTTTCAGAGAGATCCTTTGCTTTCCCCTTTGTGCTCAGCCTCTGCCCCCAAGACTGCTCTCCTCCTGTCTGAGGAGATCTAAAAGCAGTTCCTGCCACGTCTCAGTAACATCCCTCCGAGCAACAGCAACAAAGGTGCTGCTTGGGAAGGGTGGAGAGCACCGAGAACCAGCCAGCTCTGAAAGAACAGAGGATGCTTCAGAGTGGAGATAAGCTGCAGGGGCAGAACTCTGTTCAGCATCGTGGCAACCGTCACCAGCCTGAAATCCTTCTGTGTTGTACCCACTGCTTCCTACCAGAATCACAGGGTCATTTAGCTTGGAAAAGACCTTTCAGATCATCTAATCCAACCATTCACCTAACTCCACCACATCCACTGCTAAACCGTGTCCCTCAGCACCACATCTACATGACTCTCAAACCCCTCCAGGGCTGGTGACTCTACCACTTCCCCGAGAAGCCTGTTCCAGGGCTTAACAACCCTTTCAGCAAAGAAACTTTTCCTAATACCCAATGAAACCTCCCTTTGAGCACAACTTGAGGCCGTTTCCTCTTGTCCTATCGTTTGTTATTTTTGAGCAGAGAGCTCTGGCACATCGTTGTGCCCTGGGCAGCACTCTGGAAAGGGGCAGCAGTGGTGCACACAGAGTCCATGGCACTTACGGGGGAACGTGGAAGTCAATGAAGTTCTTGGGGACATAACCCTCTTGACTTCTGAGCTCAGCCTTGTACCACTCCTCCTGGGAGCTCAAAACCTGCAATGGAGAGATGGATGGATTAAACGTGTCTCCTGAGAAAGGCAAAAGCAACCAAGGTTCTGGCAGAAAGAGAATGTCTTGTAAGAATAGAAGAGAGCTCCACATATGCTCTGCTTCCCACCCACTGTGCAGCAAGGTTAGTGATTGATGACCACATTGGGCCAAAGCAATGAAGAAGACCAAGCAGAATTAGAGGAACTGCTTGTTAACTTCATCCCTTCCACTCAATACCTGCCTAGGTGGCTGGGGATGCTGTCTGCATGTCTCTGATATCTGGGAAATGGAGGAATTCAGCTCTGAAGGATTTAACAGGGGTTTAAGGAGTTCTCTGCACTGCTTTTAATAGTTGGTACTGAAGCATCTTGGTTTCATAAGTGAGGAAAAAAACAACCTTTGAAAAATCCTCTGCTACATCTGAGTATGGAAGGATAGATGTGTGTGTGTGTGTTATGACTGCAGGGATGTTACCATGTGCTTTTTGCATGTAATTTTGCAAGAAATTATTTAGTGGCTTAAGTCATCAGCTGCCCTGAGCTTTGCCAAGGTAGGCAGATGGAGGCAAAAATCATTTAAAAGCTGTGGTTACACCTAGAAGATTGTTGGGCAGCAAGAAGCTAGTCCACCATGCACACTGGAGCAGCTTCACGTGTGGACATGTTAATATTGACTGTGATGATCCTTTGGGACTGAACTGCTGACCAGAGACTGCCCAAATTCACTGCTCCCTGCCTGATGGCCCCTGATGCAGCCCTAAGCTAGAGGGGAGAGGATGGGGATCCAACCACGCTGTGATTTTACTGCAGATGTTGTGGTCTTTGGTATTTTGTTTGATGTTCCAGCTCCTGGGCCAGAATTCCACTTTATGCAATGAGAAGATGTTTCCCTCTGGTTTTGGATAGGAGCCTGAAAGCATGAGCCATAACAGTTTTAAAAGGAGGAAGCAAGTGGAAAAGGCTTAATTTAAAATCTATTGTCAACAACGATACTAGTTTGGAAAGCCAGTCTCATGTTTTTGGAGCCAAATGCACGTGTTCTGACTGCTTGGTGTTGGCAATGGGAGGTCCCTGTTTTGGGGACCAATTCTTCATTGCCTTGCCTGCCACATAGGCCTTTTTTATGCATTTAGCTCCAGAAAGGTTGGGGAACAGAAGCTGTGGAGTTCCCTGATTGTATAGTCACTGCTTCCCCCATCGCTGGGTGCCAGATGGAGGCTCTCCTGCTGCTGTGGCCAACCAAAGGGGATGATGACAGCTACTCCCTGCTCATGCTCAGGCCCTACTCTGTTGGCAGCAAGGTTTCCAGCAAGCCCCACTTGCTGGTTCTCAGTGCAGGGCTGGCAGGTTTCTTTCAGTGTCATCCTCTCAGAGAAGGATGTGGCGGGGGGGGGGTTGGTGAGAGGGTGGATTTCCTCCTGTCACTGCTGTTTGAGGGCCTCATGTTTCCTGTTTTCTAATCTCTATATCAATCCTGTTCATCTTATCTCCTTTATAAATCAGAAAAGACAGCCAGAAGGTTGTGCAGGCAGCAGGAGGGGGCTCGTGATGCTGAATACATGTCTGTGTATTCCAGAAGAGAGATATTACTCAAGATAACTTCATGTTACTATGGCTTGGGTGGCTAAGGTGTTATTTTGTTTACATCAAGGGTGTTAAAGCAAGAGGCAGTCTGACTTTTCTGGCAGTGAAGTCTCTGATGGGTAGTGTTACTTGACACTTCATCAGTAGCTTCCAACATACTTTGAAAGGAAGCTCTAGCTTATAATGACTTTACAGGAAGGGAATCTGAGGAACAGAAGGAAAAGTGATTTGGCCAACACCATCACTCCAGCCAGGGACTTGATGAAACCAGAGACTCCCAAAGAAGATGTTGGGTAAAAAATCACAGGACAGTGTGGATGTGTGGACTAGTTTTCACCTAAGGAAGAATTAGGAATTAGTGTGCTCATCTATATTGAAGAGAGGCAGTGATTTCTCCAGAACCTTATCATAGCTCTTTGCAAAAACTTGGTATTTGATATCAATAAGTTCTGGATGCCATCAACTTTGCCTAAGAATTAAAAGGCCAATAAAATTAAAAATGGTGATGATGGAAGAGGCAAGGCTGAGAACCAGTATCATGTTATGAACTGGAATAGCTGGGACTGTACAGGGAGGTGGCAAAGTCTCCCTGGCCAAACAAGGGTTTGGATCCTCCTGTTGTACATCATCCCTTTGGACAGTGGAGCAGTTAAGACCTTGGAGTGGAGTCATTCTCAAGGATTTTCATCTGAAACAGAACAGCTACGCTAGAGGCTGAGAAGGGGACAATGAGGGTGGAGCAGCATGTGACTGTATCTGTGGGACTTGGGTAGGGTTAACGAGAACTCTTCATAACACATGCAAATCAACTTTAAAGAGACTCTGTATTGTATATGATCAACTCTATTACTGCCATCACCACACTGATAAATTCCTTCAAGGGAATATTGTTAGCTGAGGACCTCTTAAACTCTTCCATTATGTGTGGAACAGTCTCATGGACTTCTCTTCTTCTATTTCCAATTGCCTAAAACCCCTCTGGCAACTAACGGTAATTACTTACAGTGAAAAGTCAGATATAAGTTCTATAATGCATGATGACTATTTTTTTAAGATGTTTGAGAGCTGGAAATAAGGAAGACAGGAATCCTTCTCCCACCTCATCCCACCTGCCTTTAGACATGGTCATCCTACATGTAGTTACCCTAGACTATCTAAATAGTCAATTAAAAGAGACATTTCAAAATCTGTCTACTGAAGAACTGGATCTCTGCCCCAACGAGGGCACTGATCCTTTCCTGCTGACTGCCAGAGGACTGTAGGGCAACTAAATCCATAATTCATGGACCTAATGTCAAGGGAAGTGGACACAGACTCAAGCAAACTGGGAACTGTTGGTTGACCTACAGTAAGCCCTATGGGTGATGAGCATCCTGTATTTGTATCTCAGATGTCTATCTTCATCTGTTTTGTCATGGCAAATGGGAGCATGGAAAGATCTGGGAGAACTTTGAGAAATGCTGTTTAGTCAAGCCTGGGGCTGCACTTACCTTCAGCATATCCCCAGCCTGGAAGCTCAACTCATCCTCTCCAGAAGCATTGAAGTCAAACTTGGCAATGGCTTCCATGCCGTGTCTTGCTGGCAGAGCAAAGCTGGAAGAAGTACATGCTTGTCAACATCTATCAGCTGCTGGAACTGCTGAGTCTGGCCTCTAGAAAGCTCATAGGCCATGTTGTGGTTTGTATGTGGATAAGCATGAACCAACCATTGGTAGACATCAGTTACTAGACACAGAAAGACATTAGCAGGTAGAAGAGATGTCACAGCCAAGAGGCTGTAGTTAGCTCAAGCCAGGAGTTCAAACAACCCACTGTGTATGTTCATTCCAACAGATCTCTTCCTCTGCAGTTTGGACGCATCACCCAAATATGCTGGTAGCAGGGAAGAACCTTCAGTATAGACCAACCACTACTCTCTCACAGTCCCCAATAAAGCAAGAGACTGTCATGCAACAGAAGAATGCATCTCCCCTCTGCAGTGACTTACTCTTTATCTCAAGAGTGAGACAAATGGCAGACAAAATGAATAGCCTGCAATAAATACAGTTTTTTCTTGGACAGAGGCCATAAGACCGAAGGCTGAAAGAATCTTTTCTTTGGGATGGCTTAGCATGGGTGACTGCAATATTTGGCTAGGAAAAACTGTTTGCAGAAAGGCTGGATTCCCTCCTTTGGAGCAGGCAGAGGGTGAAACTGCAGCACTGACAAATTTCAGACGTGCACGTAGGTTACCCCAGTGTTGGTAACGGAGGAGCCTGAGATGCACCAGACAGCCTGCAAACCAAAGCCCTCTTTTCATCAGCAGAGCAGATGTGGCAGGGGAAGCAGCAACATGAGCTTCCCTTCTTCACCACTTCCTGCTCACATAACTCAGATGTACCCCAGCAAGACCACTTCTATTATCAATTGAGTTGCTCATTTTCCATGGCTGGGTCGTGGACCCTGGTGGGGCTGCCAGTGACACGATGAGGAATAGGTGGGCATTGCCACACTGAGCAGGTACACTGCTGCTAGATGCTCTTGCAGCCTAGCTTGTGAAGAGCATCAGACATCTCCAACAGAGAAGTAATTTCTATGGTTTCTAAGCCAGGTTTGTATGGGAACAATGATCCTGAAGCCAATGGTTCCGTTACCCAACCTCTCACAAAAACACCCCCACTTTATGACTTTATGAGCATTCTTGACCAGAAAGCCCTAGGAAAAAAAAAAAAACCAAACCAAATGAACAACCCTAGTTAGGGGGCTATTTTTTGTCTCCTGTTAGAACTGAGAAAAGTTCCCCAAAATATAAAATGCATCAGCATGATGTCACTCCAAAATCATCAGGCTACTGTAACCCTCCTTCTCTGCAATACCTGTGTACACTTTCTCCTTTGATGTGCCAGATGCCAACCGTGGGGGCTGACTCTTCCCTCATGATTTGATGCCTGCTTCACCAGCAGAGACCCTTTGGGTGCCTTTACCCAGCTGAGGAGTGGGCTAATGCTTGGCCTAACATTTCATTAAATCCTGGATAAAACAGTCCACAAGAGGGGCTGTAACATCACTGGAGATTAGTTCTGAGATTTTTTTTACAACTCATTTCCCACTAGAAAGAGATCTTCACATGCTTCCTATTGGGTTCTCCATCCAGAATCCATCCTTTTTTGCTCCTTACAGGTGAATATGTATCCCTATGGCTGATGTGAGCTGTGCAGCACCAACACAGGTTTTTTGGCAGTCCACAGGTATCTCAGCTTGAACTCATCCTACAGCAACTGGGACTGTTTCAGTGTTGGGGACTATATAGATCAGGCTGGATGAGGCTCTGAACAGCTTGATCTAGTTGGAGATGTCCCTGCTTATGGCAGGGGGGTTGGACCAGAGGCCCTTTGGAGGTCCCTTCCAGCCCAGACATTCTTTGATGTCTTCCCACAGCCGTTGTGAGTCCCTTGCGTGCTAACAGAGTGAGTATTAAATCAGAGGGGAATTAACCATCCAGGGAACTAGTTAAACAATGATACTCTGTCATGCATAAGAACTGATGAAAAAGGCTAAAGGAGGATTACATTAATAAGGGATGTTTTCAGTGTTTTATCTTGCAGCAGCAAGATCAGAGCCAACAGTGCAGACGAATCCTGGTGCTCCTAAGTGCGGTGCATTAATCCCAGCTTGAGAAAAAAAAAACAAACACATTTAAAACCAATAAAATGTTTAAATACAAACCTTGTCTTTTATTTCTGCCCCTTATTCACAGAAGAGGCAATGGGGGTGCTGTCTGAAGGGGAGGAGAGGGGAGAGAGCCTTTCTTTTTCAATACCCCAAATGTTAAAGGTACGACTGGAGATGTCACCCCTTCAAAAGGGGAAGGGTTTATGAAACAGTTAAAATCTCCTCTCTCACCTCCTTTTCAATTTCAGCAATCCCAGCCTTGGGGAGAGACCAGGAGACAGATACCTCTTCAAACAACCTAACACATGGATTAAATGTGCTTTTCATTGCCAGCAGCTGGATTTAGAAGTGGCTCAAATACCATACACGGCGTTGGCTGTGTTGATAAATCAGCAATGCACTAATGCTGTGGTCTTAAGCTCTTCCCCCACCAACTACTAAAGCAACACTAGCCAATAATCCTGTCTTTGAACTCCAGCCTACCACTTTTCATCACCTGAACTTCAAACCAGGTCTGGTTTTCTGATCCCGTTCCTCCCTCCATCTGCAGCTCGAGCATCCTCACTTCACATGGGTCAGTGCTGGGCCCTCATGAAAACTCCCTGCCAGGGGACCATTCTTTCCCTCTCTGCATGTGTGTGACTTCGAGCAGCACTCTGTGACACAGAGGGATGGGAAGTTTTTTTGTTATTGCCAAGAACTCCCATTTCTCAAGCACCTTTTATCCCAAAGGACAGCATTGAAGCGTGCAGACAGAGAGACAGATTTTGCTTTTCACTGCCTGGTGCAACTCCTTTAAGCTTTTGAGTAACCAAGGACAATTTTAGACTGTGCATAATGCTCTGTGTGAAAAATCACCTTTCTACAGGGTTTAACATGAAGCCTATGTGATGGTTAAAGGAGGATTTTTCAGTTCCAAGTGTGAGTTGACCAGTACCCTCCATTTTGTGCTGGCTCTCTGCATAGAGGTGACTTTTCTCTGTGCTTCCCCATTGTAACAAGGTGGAACCAAGGGGCATAAGGCTTCTGGAGCCCAAGATTCTTAAAAGAAGTGGAAAGCAGCATGGCTTTGCAAGCACTGTGGAGGTATTTTCATTTGGCAGGATGCCATTCCCTAAGCAAAACCATCAGCACATCTCTGTTGATGGAAAGAGCCAGTGTCTAAATCAGGTCAGCAAGCAACAGACTCTGACAGCAGCATCCCAAAGAGCTTAGCACTGTTAGCTGGGTCAATATTCAGGAATAACCATGCCAGGAAAGGTCACTACCTATTTGTTTTCACCAGCTAAGCCACATACAAGTGCTATGGGAATATCTAGTGCCAAACCCACAGACCTTTTGCTGTGGAGCTAACAGTGCAGCTCCACTGATGGCCAAGCAATAAGAGGGTAAGACTTAGAAGGGATAACAAGTCACTAAAACGTTCAGCATTGCCATATTTGAGTCTTGGCTCTCCTGCCCTTGGGCCCAGCCGCTGCCTGCAAACAAAATAAGCCTCCCAGGAACCGGATTTGGAGAGCGGACAAACTTTCAGGACCCTATAATCAACAGCAGTTGGTGAGAAATGCCCCAGATGAGGATGGTGGTTTATCTCACTGGGGAATCTGGGTCTTCTGTGCTCCTTCCAGTCAGGACAGAGGAGAGCTGTGCAGCACCACAGGGAGCCCATGCAAGGGCAGCCACAGAGAGAGCAGCACCACACCGCACAACGTCGGGAGGGTGCAAGACGTGAACCTTTGCTGGGGAGGACTAGGGTGGGGGGAAACACCTCCTTCTGTTTGCCCACCCCCTCCCTCCGTTTCCAGCTGCTCAGGTTGGGCCAGGCACAGGGGTTTGTCCTGCCAAAGCCCTGTGCCGTTGAGGCAGCTGGTGAACAAGATGGCACTGGGAGCCCACGCCCTTCCCCTGCCACCCAGCACCTCACCTCGCCTGCCCAAACCCCCCTTTCCTCCTGGAAGCCTTGCCCACACGACTCCGAGCCACACTCACCTGGGAGCAGCTCTCCTCTCCTCTGGCACCTTGCTAGAAAGCAGGAGGCAGGTTACCAGCTGAGGGAAGGAAGAGCAGGAGAACTCAGCCTGTGTCAGGCTCCTCCCTGCAGTGACAGCACATCAGCAACGGCTCCACGTGCGCGGATCAGAGAATCATAGAATCATTTAGGTTGGAAGAGACCTTTAAGATCATCAAGTCCAACCATCGAGCCAACAGGGCTCTAAAGTCCTCTGCTAAAACAGATCAGAATCTGTCAGGGTTGGATGCTCAGGATTGGATGTGGGGGACAGGAGCAACGACCCCGTGGCTGTCACAGGACAGAGTGGGGACAATTCTCATTCTCTACTGTCAGAAATATTTGGTACAGTGGATATTTAAGAAGGTGATGCCAGCTCAAAAGGACCTGCCCTTGGCTGCTGCCTTAACAGCTGAATAAAGGATAGCACTGTCCCTCAAAAAATTCAAGTTCTACCCAAATAAGGAAAACAGGAAAAAAAAGGCAGATCTGGTAAGTGAAATGAGAAACCATAATAAGTCTGTTGAAAAGCATATCTTGAAGAACAAGTAGTGGAAGACATAAAAACATGTAATAAAATTATTTTCAAAGACAACGAAACAGGAAGCCTGCCAGAATGTCTGCAAGGCTGGCGGATGATTGAGATGTAAAAAGAGTGCTCGAAGAAGATAAGGATGAAGCACAAAAGCTAAATGAATTTTTTTTTTGCATCCGTGCATCTTCTGGATGGATCTAAAGAGGTCCCCACACTGGGCTTGGCTTTGCAGAGAAGAGCTGGGGGAACTGTCTCAAGCTGAAGAATAGGAAAAAAAATGGTTTTAGGACAAATCAGGAAATGTGGAAGAGGAAATACAAGGATTTTATATTTTAGAAATCTTGACTGAAATCTACACTGAACATGGAATAGTA